GATAGATAAATCGAATGCATGATTTGCTATTTCAGTTGATTTCGTACAGTTTGGATTTAGAGTAACACATGGTGTAGCTTTTGTGATTATTTTAATTTTTTTGAATATGTATATTTTTTCCCTCTGTTACTTTAGGATACTGATTAGGGGTCACTATTTTTTTTTATTTCTTTTAATGGGGCATCGGAGAACTTTTGTATTCTTTAACTGTATTACTAACCTCATTCCAGTTGTCGGTGTAATATTCACTAGTTTCTCACAGTCAGTATGGCAGCTCACAGTCACACAGTCAATATGGCAGCTTTCTCCAATATATGGAAACACAGTCAATAAAATGAAGCCTCAGTATTTCCATCAGCTGCTAAATAACATTCTTAGAGTATAGGGTGATCATGTTTTGGCTGGTCTTTTTTATAAAATTTTTATCTTTATACAGTCCTTCTAATTTTAATGCTGTTATATTTATTTAGAAATGAGTTGTTCCTTTTTTTTTTTTTTTTTTTTTTTTTTCCCCATGACTGACTTGACTTTCTCTCTTTGGTGCCAGACACACACCAAAAAAATAAAGTATCTGGCTACAACTAAATTGTCTGAAAGCTGTAAATTCCTAAACCTTGTTGAGAGAAACTGTGTGATTGATCTAAACCCTACAGGAATTAATAAACATATCCTTAAAACCTCTAGCAAAATACTAATTCACACTTAATAAAACCATAACCTAAAAAATAAAGAGAAATAAATATTTGCTTGTGCTTGGGCAAACAGAATGCTATCACTCAAACTAAAAACCATTACTCCAGTTCACATAAACTGCATATTCAAACACTTCCATGATTAACACTAGAATCAGCAACATTATTCAGTTCCACAAATTCAAAACCTTACAAACAACAAAGAAGAACTATTCATGCAGCAGTCAATCAGTTCCCCTTAAATAATAAAATCAAAGAGTTCAAATACATTCTTCTGTCATGAATACAATGTACAGCTCAGGTCCCTTTTTTAGCATGATCCTTCACTCGGTGTAGTTCGATTAATTGTAGCTCTTTTTTCAAGATCACTCAATCAAAGCCCCTAATGAAGCAACTCGGGTTCCACTCCTTAGGTATGAAATTACTCGGTTTCAAGCAACCTTCATTTTTAAAAAAAACTCGCAGCTCAGCCCACCTTCGCATGCAAGATCACTGGCCCCGAATTCTTCCTTTTTTTCCCCCTTCTAGATCAACTTTTACCTAACTAAAAACTCAAATCTGACTCTAAATTTTAAAAAAGCTCTAAAGAAAACTTGGTTTTTCCATCCACAAAATTCTACAGGCAAAAAAATTACCTGACCAGCCGTAAAAACTTCTCTCTCTATTAAAAAAAAAAAAAAAAAAATCACTCCCATCAACAAGTAGAAATAGAGATTCTGCACAAAGACAGCTGGAGAAGCCAGTCACCCCAAATGCGTGAGAAACAAATTCGAACTTGGCTAACAACCAGAGATACGATCAATGCTGCCCTTAAAATAAAATTTTAAAGACGCCCCTCTGTTCAGAAAAAAAATTTATTCAACACATTCAGCATTCACAAAAAGTGAAGCAAAGATGCCAATTAAATCTTCCTTTATTACCCAGTAAACAAAACCCCTGCAGTGCAAAGATATGCTATTAAGCTACTCTCTTTTATCGTAAATGCTATTCACAATCAGGTGGGGCACACCAAGACTCCCTGTTTCCGCCCAGATGTTTAGAAAAACGGCTTCTTGTCTTTGTGAGAAAGTCTAATCATCGAAAAATAAATACAACTAAGGATTTTAGCTGCTAAAATATAAATATCCACTACACTCTTTACAGCAATTCCAATTAAATAAAATACCTAAATAGTGATTAAATAAATAATATAAGCACAATTAAAATTTGTGATACAACGATGCTAAAACTGTTTTCATAAAAGTACACTCATGTCCATAAATTAAGGATAATTCGGAGTCACGCGGAAATCGAACTCTAAAATAAATATATCGCCTTTAAAATCACTACACACATCTTCAAGAATCATATGCAAATTTCAGGAAGTAACCAGATGACACCGATGGTACGTCACAATGACGAGAGTGTAACAGAGTGATATATAAGGAATACAGGCAAAGAAGTAAAATTGTTCGCAGGCGCTTTATAAGCATTTCAGTGCAATAACCGAATAGTTATGACACAAAGCACGCATTTGGATGATTTTTTACGTGGTAGAATTATTGGCCGTCTGGAATGTGGGCATACCCAACTAGAAGTATCAGACGAACTTGGAATTGCCCAAAGTGTCATCTCCAGGCTTTGGCAACGATTCCAAGATGATGGGAATGTGAGTAGATGTTGCAGCACAGGTCGCCCCAGAGTTACAACGCCGAATGAGGACCGGTATTTGGCAGTTCCTTCCAAAAGAAACAGGCGGAGCACAGCCTCAGACCTGTATTGTCAGCTCCCTTCAGCCACTGGTACGACGATTTCAAGGCAGACCATGTACAGACGCTTAGGGCAGATTGATGTATATGCTCGTAGACCTGTCAGATGCGTTCCACTTACTGCAACTCACTGTCGCCTGCAGTTAGCCCGGAGTAGAGAGCGTGCCCGGAGTGGACACCGTGGGTTTGTGTGATGTTTTCTGACGAGTCCAGGTTTAGCTTGCAGTCTGATTCTCGCCGGAATTTCATATGGATAGCTCCAGGTATCCGTTACCACCAAGAAAACATCATTGAACGACACCAATATGGTGGTGCACGAGTGCTCGTTTGGGGTGGAATTATTTTGGGTACCAGAGCTGACCTGCATGTTCAAATTGGAACCATGACAAGCCAAATCTATCGGGACGTCATTCTGGAACAACATGTGCTTTTGTTTTGGGGCGCCATGGGCGCACAATTTGTGTTTATGGATGACAACGCCCGTCCTCACCATGCAAACATCGTAAGCGAATGCCATCAATCGGAGGATATCACCAGTATGGACTGGCCAGCATTCTCACCGGACTTGAATGCAGTGCAGTAATGCATGTGTGGGACATGCTTGGCCGACGAGTTACAGCCCGTCAACCTCCTCCTACATATCTACCGAAACTTCGGAGAGCATTGCTTTTTAAGTGGTGTAATATCCCCCAAGATCAGATCGATAATTTGATACTCAGCATGCCTAGGCATTGTACGGACTGTATTTAACCGTCTGGGAGACATACAATGTATTAACAATCATACCAACCATGTAATATTGTTTTTTTTTTTTTGTTGTTGTTTTTTTTGTAATTTGCTCCAGGGAGAAAAAAACGATAATTTTTTTAATAATATCAAACATATAGTATCTTTTCTTGCTCTTTACCTTTTGTTTAATAAATAAGCTTTACAAATAGTCAAATTTGTTTTGCTTCTAACTCTTCCTTTGCCCGATTTTGCATTATCCTTAATTTATGGACGTAGGTGTATTTACATTATTTAAAAAAAGAATTTCATTTGAAGTGCATGTCTAGGATCAATCTTTTTTAGCATTTGTATATTAACACAATTTACAGCCTATCATTACATACATTTACTACAACTTATTTTGAAATTATTAAAACAGGCTTCTTCATCATTTTGTGACATAATTGTGTTTTCGTAGCAGTATTTTCATTTTTTGATTTTTGTTTTTTTCAAAGCACTGCTTCATTTTTTATGTGATTCCCTATTAACAGTCTATTTATCAGCCAGTCAAAGTGACTGCTTACAATTCTTTTTTGTAAAAATTGCTACTGTATTTTTTATGGTGATATTTAGGACATTTTGTATACATGTTCTTCTCCGTGAAACATGTATAAGGTATACGTTAATGTATTGGCATTTTAAGGTAAACTGTACTTTTTTTTAATTTCATAATATTCATAGACATCTTTGGATAGTCCCAAGTTTTATTTTCTTATTAGATGAGGCATTCTTCATTTATTGTGAGCAATTATTGTGATTATTATGATTGTTACTTCTGAGTAAATAAAAGCTACTGCAAATTAATGTAATAATTTGTATTTTGTGTTACATTTATTTAATTTATTTCAACCAATATATTTTCGTATATGAATAGCAAGACTCTTTTAGTAAAGGAGAAGACATGGCTGTGATTATAGTTAAATAAATTAATACTGTTTTAAAATCAACAGTAGATTTTTTTATTTAAAGACAAGTTATTGATAAGTTATAAAGAAGCTAATTGTGTTTTTAGATGCTGATAATGAATAGAAAACATTTTCAGTAAGAAAAATTGGAGGGAATGTAGGCAACTTGGAGTGAAATTAGAGATGAACATAAGTAGTGACAAATAGGTTTTTGCACTAATTATAAAATGAGGAATTTCTGTGCTAATTGTAGAGAATATGTTTGATGAAAGTGTAGAAAATTTTGATGTAATTCATAGTAAAGAAATCAAGTATTCCTAATATTTAACATCAAAAGAGTGAAGTTGTATGCTTATACTAATATGTTATCTGTAATGAAAATTTTGTTTCAAACATAATGCTTAATACCATTTGCACTTAAATTGGCCTCCTCATTAAGCATCAAAATAATCATTCGTATTAATTTGATCTGAAAAATGTAAAATTAAATTTATGAGCATCTTTTAAACTAATTAAAATTAAATGCATTTAAACTCATTCTCAGCAATAAAGATAAAAATTTAGTATCTTCATAACCAGTTAGTCTTACTTCATGTTAATTATAATTATTAATGAATTAAAATATTATGTAATGAATTATAAAATGTAAAAATATAAAATTAAATGTTGCATATTTCTACCATTTATTCATTTATTTTAGTGCAAGATAAATCAATTAAGTGCTAAATTTTTATGTATTAAAAGCTTAAAAATAAATTTCAGTATTTTAACTAATGTTGAACAATTGCAAAATAAAGTGAAGGTGGTGGCATGAACAATAAAAGCCTTATCACTCATCAGTTATAACTTTGCTCTTTCTATTTTAATAATTTTAATTCTACTTGCAGTGCATACCAAGATATCCGTATACCTACTGTAATGTCTTGTATCTCCATTAAACCTGACAATCCATTGCATGTTTGGTACTCAAGCGCGATAGCCTATTGTGCCAGGTAACTAATTAGTCATAGTTTATTAGTAATGAAACAAAGAAAAATATTGTCAGTAACCAATAAAGGAAGAGTAAAAGCAACATTACACGCACTCTCACATCTGTATTTAGTGATTTGCAAATGCCTAGATTTAGACACTTTAGTTTATTTATTTATTTATTTTTTTTTAACTTGTTCATTGTACTAACCAGTTGAAATGTGTGTAGTGGCTGTGTTTCCAACTTTAGAACATTACTGTTTCCATAAATTTAGTAAGTAAATGGTGTTTTCTTATAATTTCCTAGACAATTATGTAGGCATATCATATTTGATATTCTCCTTTCCCATCCGATTCTTTTGCTCTGTTTATATAAATCAATTTTCATCATCCTTTTTCTGTAATATCTGTTCGATTAACGAGGTTGTTCCTGTAGGTTTTGGTAGAGATATCATCTTTTCTGAATTTTGTGACAAAGTGTTTCAAATAGTTATGTTCCAAAGATTTGACTACACCTAATCATTACATGTTTAATTGAATTTAATAAGCATTTTATGCATACTTAAAGAATTTTGAATTTCTTTTTGAATTTTTGTAGCTTGTGTATCCCAATCCTTTAATTTCATACCGCTTTTAAAGACTAATGTTTTCTTGAGACAGCAAAATGTCTTTTTTTTTTTAAACTTTTATTGCTTTTCAGTTATTTGTCATTTAATATGAGCTACTTAGTATAGACTCCTAAATAACTACTTTAATGGCATCAGACCTTAGGCTGGATCTGTAGATATAAATCTGATTAAACATTTTGTGTACAATTCAGAATACAAAATCAGTGGACTGCTATTATTCTGGTTTTTAGACCATTAATTCAAATATAGTTAGATGGCATGTAGAAATTATACAATTAAAGTTCAAATTGAAATATTTACGCATTTTTCCAACACTGTAAGTTTTTACAGAAATGTAATTTCTTGTTCAGTAGCAAAGTTCTATTACTCAGGTTGTATATCAGCTGTGTCGTGGGTTCCAACTAAACAGTCAGTTGAAATCTTCTCATTCTGAACAACTTCTTTATCACTGTCTTCATTATTGGTGGTGATATTTTCTGGATTTAATAATATACTATGGAAATTTCCATTTATTGATTTTTCAACAATTTGACTCAAAACCATGGGAATAACAGCTGTGGATAAAAGGTTGAGTTGGTTAATTTTCCCTCCCCTCACTTCATTTCTGTTTAGCTTGTTTTGATTCTGTGCTAAAATTATGCAGTATAAGTTTGAATTATTGCTATGAGCCATATATTTCATCATGTAAATATTATGTAAATTACAAATTTACATATGATATATTTCAGCATATAACATAGACCATGTAATTTCAAACTACTTTTTTAATTTTTAGGTATATTCACTGTATAATGCACACCTCTTTCATTATGAAAAACCTGAAAGTTACATGTGTGATGCTTTGAAGCATTGATCTTTTTTTCATTCGTTCGAGGATTTTTCACAGAATTTCAAACAGTAGTATACTGAATTAGTAAGCGATAAGGGAAACATTATATATGTAGGGGAAAATTCTTCCAGAAGTAAATAATTTGTGCATACGATGGGTTGTATTCAATACAGCTGTACATAAGAATGTTATTCTATGGTTTCAAGAAAAGGGGGAAATAATTTGGGATACAAATGAATGTGCTTCCAACCCAAATGAATTCATGGAATTAAGAGTTAGATGTTTTCTCTTTCTGTATTCAATTGAAGGCATGATTTTGAAGTGAACATCAAAAGCTTTGGAAAATCACATTTATTTTAGCTGAAATACAGTTGATCTAGTGTTCCTTATAGTAGTAAATAATGCTCCTAACAAACAAAACAGTTTCAAATGCAAAGTCATTCAGTTTGCAAAAGAAAATAGAAATCATGCTGCAGCAAGGATATTTAGTTTTTGTGAAAGCTCCATACATGAATGGAAGAAAAATGATGTCACAATAATTAATATGCCAAAGAATGAATGTGCTTTGCAGAAAGGAGTAGCGAATGTAAACAGTTTTCTAGATGGCTTATCCTAGAAGAAAACTGGGCTTTAGAAAATCGGCAGAATTGTGACTTATCTTTTCCTTATTTTTAAATCTGTCATTTTTGTATCTGGCGTACAAGACACACCTGTATTAAAAGTGCGTTATACGCTGGAATATACAGTATTTTGCTTAATACGTTTCTATATATTAAATATATTGGGAACACAAAAATTATTGTTATTCAAATATACTTTAAATTATGATTCTGTTTTTAACCAAGTTCAAACTAGATGAATTCTATTTCCATAATTCTTTGTAATTAAATATGAAATGTAAGCTCTCTAATCCAAATCAGCTTTAAATTAAACACAAAGAAATTTGATAAAGCATGTGAATGAAGGTTGACTTGAACTACAGGTTCAAATGATGTAGGGAAAATAAATGCTCTGTGGTGGTGATGACACAAGTTACAATTGCAAATGGGAAGGCTGGCAGTGGCCTTAAAAATCCTATTTTAAAATTACATAAGGTAAAAAAATTCTGCCTTCCCAACAACCACTTAAGGGCTGAAAATGAAAATGTTTTTTTTAGCTGGCAAGAAATTTAAGGGCAGTGGAATATCATCAAACATACTTCTCTAAAAAAGGGTGGCCAATTTTACCTTGCACATGGGTGGTTGATGGTCAAGGATAGGTACGGTGTGTTTCACTGGCTTCACAACAAGAGAATAATTTCTTTCATTGATAAAAGAACGTCAGACCTGAAGTGAAAGAGAGCCCATATTCTTTTTACCGTTGAAGTGAGTTTTAGTTTAAACTCTGAATCTCAAGAGAATCGAAAACATAAAATCTCCCTTCAGACATTGGGGAACATGACCATTTGGATAATGCAAGTATAAAGGTATGGGGAGGAATAATGATTGATGGACATATGCCTGTACATCGTTTTCAACAGTAGATCTGTGGCCAAACAGTTTTGGTTTGTTTGATTATGAAGCAGCACTCAAGGGCTATCTGCATAAGGGAAAGATGCCTTCATGGAGGACCTTTCTAAGGAAAATTCTCATATCCACATTTCACGTGGTGGAAAAACGCAAAAATTTCCATACAGCCAGCCCATTCGCCTGGAATTGAAGCCAGGTCAAAGTACCGATAAAGCTGCTGAACAAATTCAGTGACTTTACCTCTTGCTGCTGGTAAGCTTTGTGACTGGCCAGAAATATTGGGATGAGGTCTTACAATCTTATATAAGACTTTTCATAGGTGCTTGTGAATCTGACTTTTTATTTATGGTCAATAATGCTTGCCCACATTGAGCAAACCTCATTGATGGATTCATTGAAAGTGAAGCTATTGAGTGGATATTGTGGCCAGCAAAATGTCTTCATCTTAATCTGACAGAGCACTCATGTGGACTACCTTGGAAAAATTGTCACACAGAGACATCCACCTTCTACAAAATATCTTGAAGAATGCATTGCTGGAGATGTGGAAATTAATTCCACAAAAATTAACTGAGATTAACAAGGTTGTTGCAGCATGAAAACTTGTTTTGATATGTCATATGGGTACAAGTCGGGAAAGATCATATTCTGTATGAAATTCATAAGCCTTAATATTTCGAGTTATTATTTTTTTTCTTAACTTTCCTTGTACCATATTATTACCATTTTTATTGTTTCATGCCACAGTTTTATATCATATGCAGTGTTCTTAAATTTTTCTTTTGTATGCATGTGTTATGATGTTTTGTATCATTTCACACATAAAATTATAGTTCTCATTTTCTGAAAAACCTGTGATTTCATGCATGTAAAGATAAGTTTGGACTTGAGTGTATGTGCATATTGTTGCAAAAATGGAGTTTGAAATTGTTTAGAATTACTTTATACATACAGTACTCACTGCTGTTTCAAATCTCTTTTATTCCAGACAAGCGTAATTAATGCTTTATTTGCTTTTTCTTCAGCCTACATTTCTATTCCCTTTCGATTCATAAACTGACAGTATACAGTAATGCTAGGAAGTATTATATGAACTTACTTGAAATCTCTGTGTAAACGTAATGTGATTATCCCAAAGAGAAAATTTTGCCATGCCTGATTTATAGGATATTAAAAGTGAATGTACATAATTTGCAAGTGTTTAATTTAGTGACTTGTTTTCTGCCAGAATGAAAAGGTTTATAGTGATCAAATTGTGGTGTTAAATGAAAAGGCATGGAATAAAAAAATTTTTTTTTAATTTTAAAAAAATGCAAAATATTCAAAAAAAGTGTTTCCTTTTTAATTGAAATTTTTCAGTAAAATTATTAAGTAATAGCTATTGAATAAATTACATATTGTTGTAGAGCCTGGAGGCCTTTGTAATATGTGTATATAAATATACAGGATATTTGTAAACTGTTAAAAAAATAAGAAACATTATAGTGTGCATCAAGATAAACAATATTTCCTGTGAAGGACCATATACCACTCAAAATGTCAGAATAACATAAGCATCCAGTTGAACTTTCAGTAGAGAAAAACAGATTAACAAAATCATTGGTAAATCTTGGCTGATATACAATGGACAGCAACTTATTGTTTGCTTTTAGCCAAGATATGTTTATTCTCAGTATTAAAAATGCCTTCCTGTTTAAATAAAGCCTTATCATTTATAACACTAAAGCAGAAGACTGGGTTGTTAGTTATCATTTGAAACAGCTACCTCACAAATTCTAGCCAGTGTTAATAGTCATGCATTTAAAAATGAGACATTCTGTGTGTAAAAGGGATGAATGCATGCCTCATGCACAGCATATTGTGACAAACACCAATGCGAGATGCCACCACTCATTTACTGCTGCAAATTTCTTCAAGACATGTCCTTCCATTTGTGGCATCTGCATATTTTGCTTACTTCCCATATCTCTCTTTGAAATAGTGAATGAGCCAGTTTCTTGCTGTCATTTATCAATACTAGTTCAGCTAGAATGGTATGGAGTACAATGCATTGGAAA